GTTGGTAAGACGGAGGCTTACATTATTGATTGTCTAATAAGTATGGTTATGAAACTTTCTGAGGCTTCCTTCAGACCCCTCTTTTTTAGGGTAAGACATTTAAATATACTTCATCTGCATCAGCATATTTTTATTTTACAGTGCACAGACACAAGAAAGAGCTAATTTGCCTTTCACTTTCAGCTCTTTGATTGGTCCAAAACAGAGTCTACCCTAAAAGACAGACTGCTGACATTCCACCGAATAGCAGACTGCATTGCGGACAAGCTCAAGGGTCTCTTCACCCTGTTTGCTGGTCATTTAGTGAAGCCATTTGCTGAGACACTGAACCAGGTCAACATTTCTAAAACTGGTAAGTTTTTCAGTAACCTCTGCTGAAAAAGGTTAATTATAATTGCTGAAAGTTTAGTATTACAGGATTTACTACAGAGCACAAACCTCTTATTTCTCTCTTCTTTCCCTCATAAGGCATCTTTCTTCTCCTGGTGGGACCAGATGGGGTTTTTCTTTTTTTCTTTTTTTTTTTTTTATTAATTGACTTCTCTTATGTGCTACCTGGTGTATTCAGATTCCTCTGCTTTCTGGGCAAAAATAGATATTCCTTTTTTGTGTATGAAACTATTTGTCCAGCCCATTTGTAGTGACCTGAAGAAATTCTCCATAAGCACGGGCATGGCCAAGCCCTTTTTCTGTAGCCTGTGGCTATTCTCTTTTCTCTCCAGCTGACAGTGAATGGTAGTGGCAGACCTGCTAGGACATTAGCTAAAAGCCAGAGAACATATTGCATCCACTTTATTGTTCTGAGTGATGAGTACATAATTGCTATGTAGTACTTCCTTTAGCTATATTCACAGACTAACAATGATTCTATCTTGTGGGGAAGTGTTGTGTTTTCTTTTTGCTTTGATGAATTGATTTTTTTTTCCTTGATTCATATGTAGATGAAGCTTTCTTTGAATCTGAGAACAGCACAGAGAAGAGCTGTCTGCTGTTGCAGTTCACCCTGGACTGTCTGCACAAGCTCTTCCTGTTTGACACCCAGAAGTTCCTGAGTAAGGAAAGAGCAGAAACCTTGATGATGCCTCTTGTCGATCAGGTATTGACAAACACAAAAAACAAATTCGTAGCTGATTTTTTTTTTCCCCATCTGAAAGATTATTTTTTTTTTTTAACTATGAGGCCTCAGTCCTGTCCTTTAATAAAAAGGAAGGAGTTACTTATTTGTCTTCGGGCTACAGCCAGTATTAACTGCTTTGCCTAAGGCTCTGAATTACTATTTTTTTATCTGTAAGGTTCGTGCATGCTGCTGAGCTCTTGCAGACCAGTGTACTCCCACTTATGCTCTTTGATTTAACTCTTGAGTACCTGAAAGCCAAAACTAGAAGTGATTTTGGCTGGGTTTATCTGAGCCTGGATCTGTTTGACAAGCTTTTTACTTTCACAGCTAGAAAATATGCTTGGAGGAGATGAAAAGTTCCAGGAAAGAGGGACAGCACACCTGATACCCTGCATAGCTCAGTTTTCAGTGGCAATGGCTGATGATTCTCTTTGGAAACCACTGAACTACCAGATCCTACTGAAAACGAGGCACACCTCTTCTAAGGTTGGGACCTATCAGAATTTGGACTGGTTTTCTTTGTTGCATTAGAAAATGGGAAAAGTGCCCCAAAAGCCAGAAGTGGATTAGCCAAGTCATTGCTAAAATACTAGCCTAAATAAAAATACTGATATTGTACTGTGCCACTACTCTCAAGTTCTAGAGAGATGCACACAACATGGCCTTCTGCTCTTACTGTAGGCTAAGCAGTCAGTATTCCACGTGTGGATGTTTCCCCATGTGGTTTGAGTTTTTTAAAGATTTGGTAGCTGTTGGAATAAGAGGTACCGTGTTTGTGTATGAAGAAAGAGGCGCTTTAGAGGAGAAACTGGAAGACAGTTATTTATCAATCTTCAGACCTCTATATAATAAAGAGTTTTGTCCAGACTCTCCTATTTGACAGGTTATATGTATTCAGGGGAAGTACTTGGTTTTTCATTGTTCTGAGCTAAGTCCTTCTGGTATAGTGGAACAGAGTGGTATTGTAATGAGAAGTTAAAGACTGTTATATCAAATAACTTCCAGCAATATACCTCCTTCTTGCAACCTATTTTTCTTTTGACATCATCTTAATTCAGATGTTGAGATTTAAATTAGCTTAAAACTAGTTCCCTTTAGGAGGGAAAGCTAGTTTACAAACTTATATGGGAGGAGGGTGAGGGGGAAGCATGTGGAGAAAATAGGGAACTATCCTGTAATGTTTGTTTAGTTACAAAGATTATTGTTTTGTTTTAGGTCCGTTTTGCTGCTCTGCTTGCTTTGGTAGAAGTTGCACAAAAACTGAAGGAGAACTACTTGATCCTGCTACCAGAATCTATTCCATTCTTAGCTGAGCTCATGGAAGGTAAAGTTCTAAAGTGGCTTTAGTGAAGGCAGACAACTGGTGTATGACCAAAAGAGAACAATGGCCACTTATTTCAAAGATTCAGACAGGATGATTGCTATAATTGCTATAATCACTATAAATCTCATGAATTGGTATATGGTAGCTTAAACTGTGCAGGATGCAAACTGAAATGGATTGTATCCAACACACTCCTAAAGTTAGTTGTTAGAGTAGTTTCTTCAGTGTTACAGCCCGTGCACATCCTCCCCCATTGCATGTTTTAGATCAGTGTTACAGCAGAAGTAATTTGCCTAAGTCTTGAGTGAATGTCAAAATATTTTTTAATATTTTGTATCTGGTGTTTGAAGACAGTTCCGGTCTTGACAAGTGATGAAGCCTTCCTAGGGTAGCTTTGTAATCACTATTCTACTTAATGCCTGCTTTATTTCTTTTTCTAGATGAATGCGAAGAAGTTGAACAGCAGTGCCAGAAAACAATTCAACAGCTGGAAGTCATTTTGGGAGAACCACTCCAAAGCTACTTCTAAGTTTATCCCCTTTGTTTTCAAATTTTGTCTGAATCGTGTTAGCTTCACACATGCAAGTGCTATAGGCAAACTGTATTCTAATTTTTATCAGAGCCAATATCTTAACTTTTTAATAAAATGTTGTAAGAATCTGGCTTTCTCATTTCTGGATGGTCTCAGGACTTTTCATTTGACTTTTCCTGAACTGCTCTTAACAGTGGGAAACTGCAGCAAGCTATAAGCAAATTCTGATAGCTGGGCACAGTGTGACAACGTGTCACCTGACAGGGTCACTGCATTCCACTGTGCTTGGGGTATGCAGTGACTGTCCGTGTGGAGGGGCTGTGGAGCCAGAATGTAAGCATAGGACTCACCAGACCCATGCACCGCAATCCTGAGAATCTGCTTTTCTGTAATTTTTAGGGAAATAAAAAGTAAACCCACAGAAGATACTGAAAAGGAAGTTACAAAAAACTAGGATTCATACAGGAGCTAAAGCTGTTTTCAGTCTTTGAAGACTGCTACGGATTAGCTTCTTATTCACCTGAAGATCAAGAATAAATTGCTTGTTATGTTAATGATTTTACCAAAAAACTCAACACCTGTTTTGCACCAGGAGGTGCTGGTTCATTACACTACTAGTAAGAAAGGCACTCAGACTCTGTAACTGGTTGGAACTAACACTATAAAGAGAATAATCCTGCACCCCATCAGGCGCTGGGAATGGGCCTCTGTTCAGGGTGCAGCACACTGTGCAGGTCCCATCTGCATAAAGGTTACCCCACCATGGTCATTCATGCTCTTACAGGATTTTCTTAAAAGAAAACAACTATTAACCATGTCTACTGTCAAACAAAAAGGATCTTCACATGAGAACTTCTAATGAACTTTTAGCTAAAGGCAAGGACACACAAGTGGTGTAATTGCTATTACCAAGCGGAAGCTGCCTACCAGCTCCCGTTACAATCAGCCAGCTACGCTCATCCTGCAGCCAAGGGATATGTACAGCACAACACTGTCCTGAAGGCCACACCAGCACAGCTCAGCCCTAGGCCTACTCAGGTTTACTGGTCTGGATCGCTAACTCATCCACGGGGAAATGGTCCTCCAGTCAGGATCACTATGCAATCTGGGACATACAGATAACAGGCATAAAAAGACAAAATATAGACCAAAAAGGGTTCATAGCTACTTAGCTACACTTGGAAAAAAGCGGAGTTCATGAATGTTTTTATTTATGCTTTTTATACATTAAATCTGGTAATTTATCTTAAACAGTCTTTTAGGGTACATCTTATTCTTTAAATTGTTTCACTCTTTTAGCAGCAGATAAATGGGAACTTCTCTCAGGCATGTATTGACAGCCAGTAGCAACTTATTTTTTAAAAGAGTATAAAAATTAAGACTGACATTTGTACAGAAAACTGACTGAATAGGAACAGCTTGTTTCAGATAGCATTTTTAACACACAATTGAAAAAGGATTCCTTCTCTATTCCACTGATAAGTATCCAGGTCTCATTTCAGCTGAAACCCTGCCTGGAGTACCTGGGTTCACACATTTTTAAAAAATGAAAAACACAAACATCTACTTCAGTCCCTGAGCAATCCCAACTCAGTTAGGAGCCATTTCAGATCAAACAAACTTTCAAAAGTTGACACAATTGGAACCAGCTATATGATTTTCATTTGTTTCACTTTGGAAAACCAAAAGCTAGAAATGCTGCTGTATGTTTGATTTAAGCCACTTATAAGCAGGAGGAGACACAACCATGAATGTCAGAGAAGGTATTCCTACAGCAGTTGGCTAAGAAGTAATATCAAATTCCTCCTTGCCTTTTGCTAGAAGTGATGGGTCAACTGTTTGTTTAATCCAGCCTCAGTAAAAAAGGTTATAGTTGCTAATATAAACTAAGCAGCAGAAGAGTATATTTCATAATTATATTTTAAATTAATTATCAATTTCCCTTTTGGGGTGGATACCATACCTTCAGATCCTATTTCAGCCTCATTTCTACTTCACTATGTTCAGTATATGCTACCAAGGAATGCTGAACAGTAGTTTAACTTAACATACTGAGTGTGATTGTTAGATACAGTACGATGCAGCATTTTCATATTGCTAGGTCAGTAATACAGGAGATTTATCTGAGCAAACACTTATTTATCTTACCAGGATACTGTAAACTAGAGGAGGATTTAATCTCACAGTTACAGTACTGGTACTCACCTAACTGAGAGGCAGACACAGAAGCCTAGATAGATAAAGGCAGGCTCAGCATGAGTCACCACCTGTTTGTACTCGACAAGAGGCACTGTCATTAGAAGGGTTTGAATTCTTTTAGTACTGATTGAAAAGAACTACCAGCTCCTCACATCTAACAATTGAACATCACCCATGATTTCCACTATGTTGATCTTTTCAAGTTGTTTAAAACGATGCTTGTACTCCAGAGTGTGAACACCGTTAACAGCAACTTTGAACTGGTGAGCATCGCAGAAAATGATCAGCTGAAAAGCAAGAAGACAAACAGTTAAGTTTTAAGCTCAGGTAAGACATGGAAAACAACCTGATGATCTAGCCCTGGTTCTGTTACAAAGAATGTTTCATGCAAAAGAAACATTTAGAATCATAGAATAACTCAAGTTGGAAGGGACTCATAAGGATCATCAAGACCAACTCAATTCAATCAGAATTCATTCTGAGCACAGGCTGAATTCTTGCAACTCTTTAAAAAGAAAACTGTCAATAAAACCAAGTCAAATCTCTGGACCCATTTAATCCTAAATATTCTCAAGACAGTGAAATGCCGGAATGGCAGTTTTATTTAAATCTGTTTTTAATGACATAACATTTAAGCACCACTGCTAATCCCTGTGGCAGAATTACCAGTTTGATGCTATGTTTCAGTTAATCTTACCTCAAAGTACATCCCTGGACTGAAAGGAAAGTTGGCAACTTCATTTTCTTCTTCTCCCCAGCTGTCATGAAGGTATGAGTTTCTTACAAAAACCTTATTTTTCACTCGGGGATTCAGATGCAATGCAATATCCTTTGAGTCACTTGATTTCAGATTTATCGCAAAGCTGGAAGACATTTTTTAAAACTTTGCTATACGAAGGGTTTATAAACATGATGCAGAGTAATCCATGCTATTTACAAAGGCCTTGGCCAATAGCCACAACTGTTCTGCAGCCACGGCACCTTAAGAACCAGGCAGACAGTTAACATGCACGTGTCTCCTTTGTACAGAAACCTTTGCTGGAGGCAACAAATGTAGGACAGGACCCTGCTAGATCTGCTCCATCACTCACAGCTTCCTGGTCATGTCTTAGCAAGGAGGTACTGAGCCAAGTGCTGCTCCCCTACAGCACCAGGAAGCAGCGTTCTCACAGAAACATACGGTGCTACTTGCTCTACCATCTCTTCCTCCTAACTTGGGCCGTGGAGAGTGGGAGGCTTTGTTTTACCTAAAGACATTATATTCTTTCTGCTAACAAACTGGTTAGACTCTAAGGAGAAGTTTGAGAATTCTCTCCATACATTTAAGACTGGTGGGACACCAAGCATACCAAGTGTTCCTTTGTAGGCAGCGTAGCTCTGCCCAGGCTGAAAGAACACTCTGCAACCTCAGACATGTCCGCAACACAGGGCTCCTAAAGGGGAGCTCTGGAGAAGAGGGATCAGAGGGAAGAGTCATGCAAATTCAAATGTTTCAACCTGTAGCAAAGACCTCAATGCATTTGAAGAAGAAATATTCCTCCCCCCAAATTAGCACTAGCTGTCAGATTATTTCCTTCCTTTGAGAAGCCAAGGATTGCTTAGTCAAGATACGAAATACAGCAAAGCTCACACTTCCAAGCTGTGAAGTCCTTTCTCACTGAGAAAAAGGAGCATCTAAAACTGTGTGAACTGAGTGAAAGACATTAAGTAACTCACAAACTCTATAAAAGTCTACACATTTAAAAGCACAAACGCAAAGAGCAGACAACCTGCAATGCTTTACCTAATGCCCAAAAGCCTCTTCACGCTTATAAGCGGTACATTCAGCGCTTGAAATGTGCTAATAAACTTCTCAAGCAAAAAGAAGGAAAACAAAGGCTACTATCTATGAATTATCCTGTCCAATTTAAAGTCCATTCAAACTTTGCTAATGAGATTTCTAGACCTCAGAGTTCATATTAATACTGGAACCTGAGTGTTGTTCAGCTGCACAGCAGATACAGGCTCCGAGCGCAATGCACACACACAGAGTAAAAAGCATGCTTCCCATCATTTGCACTAATTGCTTCATTTTTAGGCATGTTTCTGCAGAGCCAAAACCACCCTTCAAGCAAAAGGCATCCTGAAGCACAGAAATTTCCTCAGCTCCATTTTGACTGTGTTGCACTCCCCTTTTTTTTCCCCTCCTCTTTAAATCATGCAGGGAAAATGTTTTCTTTGCAACCTGTTGTCCCTAGTTTGCTATCAAAATTATAGCTCATACTCCTCTACCAGCTTTCACCACTCAGTTGTTGCCAGTTAGGCACCTTCGTACTTGCACATTCCCTGAGGAGGCCATCTGAGAAGCGTTCAGAGAAACATTGTAACATGCAGCATTGGAGCACAGCAGCAACTCACCTAACTCACTGATTTTCCATGTTTCTGCCAGTTCCCTTACTCTTGGATCTCTTTAGAATAAAAGCTGGTTTTGTACGATACGTGTGCTCACATGCCTTCAACACGAACAGACACACAATCTTGTGAATGATGCAGAGGTGATACACTCAGGTGTTACCTTTACTTTTCACAATGGAGCTGCTCTTTTAAGTCCTCTCTAAAGCAGTATCCTGCAGGCTCCTGAGAAAACTGCACTGTAGTTTCAGATTATTCCAGATGCAAAGTTGCAAGTGAGTAAGGATATACTGGGGAAAAGCCTACTCGTTCTCAAGAGTAGCACAGTTACATAGCAAAAAAAAAAAAAAAAAAAAATCAGTAACACTTACCTCTTTGCATTTTTATTCACTTCACCTTTAACAGCAACTGTGCACCCTGGACGAAGTGCAGTATCAAGTTTCCCAACATAAGGAACTCCCTGGAAGCACACCACCAGTAAAAATTTTACTGTGACTTACTTATTTTTTTCCAGTATACAAGCTGAGCTCTACTATGACAGGAAGAAATTTGGCTTACAATTGCAAATCTGCACTTATAGCTAAAGTTATTCCCACCAACATGTTCTGGGATACTAATGCTATAGTGGAAAAGTAACACTGAGATGAACATATCAATGTGTTGGTTTTTTTCTTTAGAATACGACCTTGTGTTCAAAATAAACATTATTCACAACTACTTCTGCCACCACTAATGGTAGAAGGAGAGGAAGAAGGAAAAAAAAAAAGTAAGCACAAAACTCCCTACATTAATTTAAATTTTTATCACATAATTATTCAGATACAGACATCCTGACCTTGCCTCTCTGAAAGCTTCAGTTATGTTTTAAAGGATAAGACTCATGCTAGTTGTGCAGTCCTACGGTTGCCTAAGTACTACAAGTAGGGTCACTGAGTATTCTGTCCTTCTGGCACCAGTTCATGATAGTTAGTGCAAGTATTTTATTTGCCTTTTTTTTTTTTCATTGTGTTAGAAGTTATTTCAATCAAGGAAAAGGAGTGAATGGAGAAGTACTTCGCCTTTAGTTTTTTGTTGAAGTCACCACCACTTGGAAATGACAATATTGCACGTTATTTGGTTTTGAAAAGAAGACTGAAGAAAACAGACTGACAGGTGACGAGGCAACTGAAATCAGGACACTCATTGCAACTTCACCTACTCCACAAATTCTACTTTTATATATTTCTTTTCAGTTTAAGTGTGGTCCTTACTCCAGTCTGGATACTATCCACCTGTACAGCTTTTTTCAAACAGATGCTCCATACTAGCTGGGTGTGAGCTCCAACCCTAAGGTGCGATGCTTGCATCCAGCCACCTGAAGCATATACAGGGTAAGCATGGATCTGTCAGCAAGAGGATGGTGTAGACAGACAAGTTCTGAGATTTGCACATTACTATAAGGCCATTTGGCATAATAAGACCACAGAATACTTTTGTTTTGTGGTTATTCCCTAAGGCAGAGAAAACTAAGTATGCTTACTTGAAAAAAAAAAATGTTTAATGTTATTTGGTACTTTAAAACTCCAGGGACCTCACTTTTTATTTCTGTTTACAGCTGTGGATGCTGTGTTTATCTTTTTTGGGTTTTCTAAATGATTTAGCAAGTGGCCTCACTCTTACTAGCAGCAGAAAAGAGGATTACTCTCTGTAAAACCTCGCTAATGATCATCTCCCAGTAGATTCTCAATTCCCTTGTTCTGTGAGTGTTTTTTAATTAATAACTGAGATGGTTTTATTTCAACTTTTTTTACTCTTCACAAGTCAACGTCACAAGTTTGCCACGAGTTTACACAAGATACTTACAAATTGTGAACCATCTGGCATTTCCCCCTACAAGAGAACACAAACAACATTAACTAGCTCATCAGACAACAGGGAGAGTCATTCAACCTTTTACAAGCATACGTACATTTTCTGTGTTTATCTTTGTTACTCCTAGAGATGATGGGTGAGAGCCTTGTAAAGACTGCAGAAAGAGAGATATTTAGATGTCATTGCTAACATCATAGAATTTCAACTTAAAGTTGGTTAAAACCATATAAGGATCTGTGCTGCTTTGAAGGGTGCACTACTAATGTGGAAATCTAGGGCTACAGCAAAGAGAGCCAAACATTTACAAACCAAGGAAAAGTCCTGAAGATCAATTGCTGAAGCCACATAGAGATTTATAAAGACCACCTCACTACAGTTTGAATCTTTTATTTAACAGTCAGAGCACTGTTAACCCCTTAGCATCTGAGGGTACCCACTGAGCTGGGTAGGAATACCAGCAGGGCAGGTCCGCACAGGGGGCCTTGGGATTCTAAACAGCCCTTTGCATCCATGTCACTTCCCATGGGAAGGACACATGAGCACAGAGATACAGTTCCAACCTAGCTCTGGAAGATTGTGTCCTCATTTCAATGTGTCCTTATTTAAATACAAGCTTCCATCTTCCTCATCAGAAGAGTATATTAGAAACAAAGATGAAAAAATTGCCCTTCTCCATTCCTTTCTTCCCCAAAGGATAAAGCATCAGCAATCACAGAATAAGCAACTCTGTTTTGTTTTGTGCTTGGGACAGGAACCAACCTAGAGCACCTGCTTGCCCCCAAGCTCTTCTCAGAGTCAGTCCTCCAAGAGCAGGACTCGGACAGCTTTGAAGTAACATTATTCTGGCAACATGCCCAAGGCCAAGTGACGGGGCCCACAGAAGTCTGTACACAGGCTTTGCAAATCATCAGTGAGTAGACATACCTTTAAAGCTTAGAACCCATTTCCTTCAGGCCCAAATCTCCACCTTCTATCAACACAGTTATTAGTCTGCTGACCTGAGTTAGCCTTTTAAGCAGCAAGAGATGCAAGCTTAGACCACAATTTAGTGAGGATGGGGCAGAAGAGATGCAGAATATTACACTGGAGTAGGCAGGCTGCCTTAGTGGCAGGAGAAAGAGAAAAGGCATTCATCTTCCGTATCTCCCCAGAATTTACCTTCTGTTTCTGCTCTAAAAGTCTCACCCTTCCACAGCAGAAGGATCTCTCCTTCTGCACAGGGGAGAACATTGTTCAGCCCTGTTGGTTTACTTTCTCTATCAGAACTGGCAGCTGAGAGGAAGCACAGCGCTGCCTTCACTTTAAATTCACTGCAGTTTGGTCCCAGTGCAAGTCAAGCCACAAACTCTTCTCACCTCCCAGAAATAAGCATACACTCCAACTTAACACTTCATTCAACAGTTCAGTCATTTTAGCAGGAAAAACAGGGTTATGTGCACAAGCAGTGCCAGCTGTGGCTGAACTTGGCATTTGGAAGCCAAGCAACAAGCTACAGCCATGGCTGAACTTGTCACTTAGAACCACTGAATCCTGACAGTTCATTTTGGAGCTCCTGCAATATCTGAAAAAGTCTAATCAATTCCAGTATCAAATCAATTCTTATACCATCTGTCCTATTAAGTTTGTAAGCTGTAAACTTTGTCACCCTTTTGTCCCTAACCTCAAGACTAAAACAGGAAGACAGATCCTCACATGTTGAAATGCGGGGGGGGAAAAAAATCATGTTACTGACGTTAGCTATTGTGTAGCTTTTTTTCTTTACTTCCTTTTCACCATAAATCCTACTCTGTAGTTTAGTAAGACAGACAAAAGGAATCTAACAAATCAGTTGTCTTATATAACTTACATTGGAAACAAATTCTATAGTTTTGATCTGCACTTTGCCATATATTCCAAGTGTATCTATTCTTTCAAGGCTAATTCTGTGGTTGTAGAGCAACAAGTGCTTCTTGTTTACAGTCACCTAACGAGACAGGAAACAAAATAGAAAAAATTGTATTAAACATACATTACATTAGCCATGTATCAAATTGCATGCATGTATCTGTTTTACACTGGTTTGGTACAAAAGTATGGGGTGTCCTAGAAATTTCAGAGCAATTAAGTTCAGCTCATCCATGATTCAGTCTCTCTTTCCATCACTATGATGGAGCTTTATTGACCTACACTAAACCTGCATTTCACACCTTTTGTTTCTATCACCTGCCCATGGCAAGGGGGTTGGAACTCTATGATCTTTAAGGTCCTTTTCAACCCTAACCATTCTATGATTCTACGATCATTTACCAATGTGGTATTACCAATCTAATAGAATCTATTATTGCAGTCTGACTGAGCAAGACAAATACATCTCACATGTTTCCTCCAAGAGGACTGTCCTACACAAATCACAAAACAGGTTTATCCTACAGTCAGCCCTTTGTACATAAGAAGGGAAGGATGGAGTAGCCATTAGCCACGGCAGGAATTTACTTGCCTACTCATCCAACTTAGAAGGAAGCAATACTAAACTAAAGGTCTGATTTACTGAGCACCTCTTTAAAGAGAAGCTACTAGACTTTTCTGTAGTTAGACCTAAGTAATTACCTAAGTAATAGAGAAACCAAGGCTTCCAGCTGCTTATTGTAAGTATACAAGATACCTCTCTTTTATTGGCCTGACAACTGGCTACAGATAAAGAACTGACCCAGACTCACCTGAAATTTATCCTTTAAAACCATGATGACAATCTCAAATAGCTTCCCTTTTTGAAAGGGCATCTCATAAGTGATCTCCTCCCAGCCCCATTTTTCCCTCTCCAGTGTGTTGCAAACAACGCAGCCAGACCTTTTGAAGCGGGGGTTGAAATGAAACGCCACATCAGCTCGAGGCTTTATGCTGCTGCCACACTGTAAATCCACCTGGAACCTAACCATAAAAATAAGACAAACCACATTCAGCTCAGTCTGTCAAGAAATCACCTAAAAGTTCAATACACTTGTGTTTTACTGTGGAGCCACGGAACAGGCAGACACAAAGAGTGTTGTTGGAAAAGGAAAAAAATATATATATTTGCCCAACTCCTACACATTTGTGAAAGGTTCTCCCATGATTTACTGCAATTAATTAAAATATTTAAGTATTTATTTAATGGTCTTTATTCATATCATGTAAGCTCCTCACTTACTGTGTTCACCACCTTCCCTCTCATCACCTTCAGTAGAATAACTAAAGGAACCTTTGACAAAGTCAGGGAACAGAATGCCCATACTGGGCACACGCACTAGTTCATACTTCCTTATCCCAGTTTAAGTTAACTCCTTCAGGCAACACATTCAGTTATCAATGTTGTTAGTCTCAGATAACCTCTTTAGACAAGCAGACATACACTAGGACAGGGAAGAAAAATTGCCAAAGCGAGAGAAAAGAAGATCAGCAGAAAGCAAAAAATCAGTTCATCCTCCACATCTTGTCACAAAGCTTTCATTAACCACTTAACCCCGTATTCACTGACAATATCACAAGGATTTAGATCAAGCCTTTGTATGCCATCATAAGTAGGACCTCTGGAAACATTTTATCCATTACATTCTTGTTCACATGGTGACATTGAAAAAAATGACACCATAGCCACTACCTGTCTGCATCATCAGGAACAGTCCCATGTATCACAATCAGCTCTCCAGGAGCAAGGCCTCCAAGTATCGTCCCAACATATGGAATGATCTAGAAGAGGGAAAAAAAAAAAAAAAGAAGAAAAAAAAGGTTCAAATAATATTTTGTGATGGAGGCAAAAAAAAAAACAAAACAGTTTTAATAATAATATTCTAATACTTAATTATGTGGTAGCACATTAAAAGAAACACAATGAGCATTGCATTTAAAAGAAACAGTAGAAAAGCACTAAATACCCAGCACAACAGGAAGGAAAAACCCAGCAGATTTTCACCTATGAAAACCAAGCTTCTCAGATAAAATTAAAACTAAAATTTCCAGCTTCCATTCCCAGCTCTCAAATGAAGAGTGGTAATATTTTATTGCCTCACGTTTAATAGAGTATAAAGAGGATTCACTTCAAATTAGGTCATTGCCAAGGGCTATTATCAGCCCTTTGCTGGTAGCAGGAGGCACCTTCCACAACCCTTCTGACCCCAGAATACAGCAGTTGCCTTTTTGCCTGTTCCTGCTCCATTTTGGAAAACAGTGATGGGAAAAGAAGAAACGATGTCGCCGAGTGTCTTCTTAGTAACAACTACACAACAAACACAGCAAAATACCTCATCATGAGCTAAGAACTGCAAGGTGCACTGAAATAGCCCTGTTCAGGGGTCCTGGTCTTTATGGTATCTCTGGTATGCAGACAGTCTGGCTCAAAGCCTGCATATTTTTTCTTTCATATCAATTGCAAGGTAGCACAGGCACATTACGCTCAACTGAAATGGCAACATGGTAGGAGTTGTTAACCCATATGAGGGGACACATCAGTTAAAATAAAATCCCCAAACACCCCAGCAGGGTTCTCTGGCAAAGGTTCAGACATGCTGACAGAAGCCCTACCCTGACCATCAGTTGGAGCACCCAGCACTTCAGGGAGGGAAGGGAAGCACCTTAAAAGAAAACTGTGGAAGTTCACAGGAGACTGATCTGAAAGCAAAGTTTGCATCTCATCACATGTGCTTTAGATTGAAAAAGAAAGCAAACGGTAGCATATGTTGCATTTGCTCCAGTCGACAGACAAATTTCTGACAAAGTTGTTTTCTGGGGTTTTCTTCCCCAAAAATCTCTGATCTGCAGAACAGTGTATAAGATTTTAGGAGATCTTTGAAATGAAACATCAATTGCAAAAAAGAGTTCCAGTAATTTACCAACAAAAAATTAACAGACTGAAAATACTACTCTTGAATGGAATATTGGACCATAAAAGGACAAGTTGGGATTTTTATTTTTTAAATATATATATCATCATGCAAAACAGGAAGATATGCAAAGGGGATGTGCTTGCTGACACATATTCTTGTGAACTCGTGAAGAGGGAAGGGGGAATGACAGCAAAAATTGTCTAAATCTGGAGTGTTGACCCTTTCTGCCAGTAGATAAACATCCTTTTCTGCCCTCTCTCCACTTCCCCTCGACAGCTACCCACACATCGCACAAACCCTGCTTTGCAGTCATCTTCTACATCAGGCAAAACAGACTAAAAGAACTTGCTTCTCAAGCATAAGCTCACAAATGGTCAAGTTGTTTTAAGTCTCACATAGTTTTACTGGCTTAAGCTGGTGTAGTAGAGGAGGACCAAAATGTGAAATTAAGTGTTAAAAGTGAAAGAATAAATAGGCCAAAATCTCTTTGCTTACCAGTTCCTTAATATACAAGCTGTACATAAGAGGCTCACTTTTATTCAAAGAAAAAGAACAATAAATAGGAAAAAACATATCCTGATTATTTTAGTTTTAACACACTGCTCCTGAGGTGTAGTAGCCCTGAGTAATGCAGTAGTCATAAATTACTGGTTCAGTCACCAAAGATGAACCAGAGGAACAGAAAGACACAGGCCAGGGATGCTGGGACTTAACCATGCTAGTGGATCAAGGTTATTTACCCCTGGAAGAGAAGCTATGGCACAAACACTTCTTTACATTAAAAAGGATGCATTTATTTAAGAGAAAAGAAGGTTGGTCCATCAACTTTTCAAAAGCTCAGGCATGGACTCTGCAAGGCCATAATAGAGCATTTGCTGGGTGCAATACTACAGACTGAATGAGGTTTTGTCATCACAGAATGTGCCTGTAATTTTCTCATGTCTCAAGACATTCTCCTACTAATTTTTCCTCATTTATTAAGAGTAATGCTTGTGACATCACATGATCTACCAGCATCGCAGCCCTCTTCCAGACCTCCAAAATTTACCCCTGAAGCCAATTGGTCGGTGTCAACTGAGTTTGAGAGGTCTCAAAGACCAAGTTCTTTCTAGTATCTGCCAGTTTTCACAAAACAAGAGGACCCATTATGGTCTTACAGAGGGAAGGACTGTGATAACACAGCTTTCATCCAGCTTGCTGGGCAGCGGCCAACTGCCCCATCAGATGGGGCATGACAACATTTCTTGCCAGATCAGTGGAATAAAGGGCATAAAGAGGAGAGTCGGATTTTCTGGGTGATTCAGAACAGTACAGTAGTAAAGAAATACATCTCTGACTCAAACCTGTAATAATCATAGAATGGTTTGGGTTGGAAGGGACCTTAAAGAACATCTAGTCCCCCCCCCCTGCCATGGGCAGGGACACCCTCCACTAGCCCAGGTTGCTCAAAGCCTCATCCAGCCTGGCCTTGAACACCTCCAGGGATGGGGCATCCACAGCTTCCCTGGGCAACCTGTTCCAGTGCCTCACCACCCTCACAGTGAAAAATTTCTTCCTAATATCTAATCTAAATCTCTTTCAGTTTAAAACCATCACCCCTTATCCTATCACTACACGCCCTTGTAAAAAGTCCCTCCCCATCTCTCCTGTAGGTCCCCAACTCTATCCACTTTGCAAGCAGTGAACGTATAGTGAGACTGAACAATCAGATTCACTGAGGACACAGGTATCAGTGCAAAGCTGCAATAGATAAGGAAGTCCTGTGCAGATCTGTGCTACAGTACACTCCACATAGATACTCTACAGACTTTAATATTTTTAAAGAGTTCTAGCACAGAACCTTAAAAATACCATTTCCTGCAGGCTCAAAGGAACTACCTTTTAAAGATACAATGAAAACTACAGCTCCAGCCCACCCCTTTAGCCACATGTCAGTGTCAGGCCACTGTCCCAGATCATGAGAATATTGGAGCTTTTCAGAGAAAGTCTCCAGACTCTAAGCTATGCAAACAGCATTCTTCCAGATTCACTCTCTGCAATTGCTGAATCATATTAGCTCAAGTCTTCCCTACAAAACAGGATTTTTTGTAAGGTAAGTCATCAACTATCAAAAAAGATTCCAAGTTCAAGTGTTTAGACTGATGTTACAAGCACCATAAAAAAACCCCATTTCACAAGGGTGTAAGGGACAAAATGAGAAAGGGGTTTGTTACAGAGGACTGCAACTGACAAAGGCCCCAATAAGGGATGACAAGTGATTGTCTGCTGAAGGCTTTGTAAACAAAAGGTTTGTCTCTCTTTGCTGATAAGAGAAAGTGTGGAATGTCCAGAAGGACTTAAGGCCTTACTCCCTTGCTAATGAGGTCACCTCCCTCACAACCAAGGAGCAAACCTTGCCCCACAAAGTCATCCCTCTTTTTGAGTGTCCTTTTCAGTGTTACAAGTTTTATTCCAGCTCCTTCTGGGGCTTGTTCAGCAAGTTTTGTGGGAAGCCTCATTGCGATAAGTAATTACCCGTTTTAGCACTGATAAGTGATTGCAAGTTTTATAAGTAGTTGCAGGTCTTTAATATTGCTGATAATTGTGGTATGGTTACATCGTTAGTAGTTGTCACATGGTTGTAAGTTTTAGCATTGTCAGTGGGTGATGGTATTGTTACAAGTTTTCTTTGCCAAGTCATTTATCTTTTGTAACTCCACTACATTTTTATATTTTTACATTTTTTAAAATAAAATTATTGTTTAATTGAACCTCTCAAAGCATTGTGCTGGGTTACTGTGCAGATATCCAGAGGATACCTTGCCATCACCCACCAAGTGGGATGGGACAAAGGGCTGCCAGGCACTACCCTGTGTTTATAGGGAATTAGGAGTGAAAACACTATTTTATCATATTTTCACCTTTGATCCAGCACATTGTGCAAAAATCCCAGACATCCACATAAGCTGTGGATGAAAAAGGACTACACTCCAAGGCCAACAGAACTTCATTCCTATTTTGGAAGTCCTGGGCATTAAGTGTCCACTTGCTTATAATACAATTTCTAGACACCATCAGCTCCTAGTGTCACCTGTGACATTCTCCCTCAAATGCCTGAGCAATACAAAGAGTTCTCAGTAACACCCCTCACTGTGCAAAATGGTACAAGTACTAACTGTTGACATAAAACAGCAAAATCCCATTTCCCAAGGAAGAAGTTGTTGACGTGATAGGAGAGTTACCGGGTTACTAATTTTCTTCTGCGGTGCATCCAAGGACATCATCTTGCCTCCTCCAGTTAAGTTTGACAGTTCTGTGTGACCACTGCTGGAGCGTATTTAAAGGACTCACTGGTCAGGCAGCACCAAAGGAGGGATCCCTTCAAAAAAACAAAACTTTTAATTAGAAAGAAACATAATGACAGTACATGAAGTGAAACCCTCCAACTTATAACTTTAAACAGCACAGGAAATGATCTAAACACCTTTCCTCTCCAAGAAATTTGCTGGAGTTTTGAAATAGAAAAAATTAAAGGGGTGCTTAAAGAAATAAGGTGCCACTCTGACACGGGACAGTGCACACCGGTACACAATGTCATCAGCAGCTTCCTGAGATTACGTACACTGAGACAGAACCCCAGGTAAAAACCACCCTTGTACAGAGAATCACTGACAACTCAGTACCCCTCAGCTGGGCCCTAACAGCTCTCCATTTGCGGCTGACCCCTGGCAAACAGATACACAGTACAAAAGCAGTTTTCCCAAAACAAACAACCAACCATTTCTGTTTCCTTTAACACTTTCTGTGCTATCCCAGATTTCCTAGGGCAGACAAGCCCTATAGGCTTCCAGTTTTATCTTACATAAAGCTGAGAGATGCTAGGCAAAGACATAGCAGGGAAGCAAACGGTGTTTTATATTTCTTCCTCTAACACATACAATCCCTGAACTCCACAAATAACTGCAGGAGTTGGTAAAAGCAGCATTAAATGCACAGCATTAATAAGAAATGAAACAACAGCTTGTGAGTATATCCAGCTACACTGTAATTTTTTTAGCAAATCTTCTAATGAAGTGACCAAAATTCAGGGCCCAATTGAAGATACTAAGTAATTATTTGTTGCACATTGTGGAGAAACAACTTTAAGTAGCATGCAAACTGTGTGGTGATGACAGGTAGACAAGGAGAAAGTCAAAGGTGAAGGTTCTAGCACCATTACTGTGTGACAACTGCTAGCAACATTAGAAGAAGAAAAAAAAAAAAAAGATAAAAAAAACCAAACACCACCAAACCAAAGCCCAAGGTCTTTGACCTGTTCCACAGAGCCCTGGGGTTAGTTTTCTGCAATGATTCACCAAGAGGGTCGCCCATTGCAACACCTGGCTTATCTTGTGGGAGATTTGGGCCAGAAGGGGATGAATTCTCCTACTTAAGACCAGTGTCTAGAACGCAATTCAGAGAACACAAGGTGCCTGTGCTGCGTAACTCTTTTGCCCCTTTGATCTTCTCATGGGATACCACCATCAATTCACAACGGGAATGTGCAAAGGCAGGCAACTGTCATTGTTTTTATCTTAAAAAGGAGGAAATCAAGACAAAAGCAAACAATAATTCTGCCTTTAGCATCGGAAAGTCCAACAGCAGTCCCCAAAAAATGAAATCCACACCTATAACCCAGTATCCAGCAGCCTGCTAACTGAACTCCTCCGGGTGTGCAACAGCAACCCGGGTCCTGCTGAGAGGATCCTGGAACGGAGCTGACTGTCAGTCCTGGCCGGCCAGGCAGCACTACAGCAAAGCGATGGGTTGAGGAGTTTTTTGGTTTTGGTTTTTTTCAGTTGAAAAGGTCACAATAATGAGGGAAAGCTGGACTTCAGGCTCTGTTTGACAAAACAGGAGACGGACACGAAACTTCAAGGTTCTCCTGCAACCTTCTGTCAGAGGAACCGCTGTCGCAGACGTTACACCAAATCTTAACTCTGCAACACTGTAAGTTAAGGTTTCCTGACTATACCTTTAGAACCGAAAAAGATATGTACAGTTTCCTGATATGTCACACATTGCTGAAAAACATTGTCAACAAACAAACAATCAGGAAAACAGACCAACAGGCAGCCGTCACGCTGTCCCACGGCGACATGCAGAGGATACCCCTCACAAGGGTAACTCAGGTCAGACGCTATGATCAAAGCTCCATTTTACACCAAGGCAAACAAGGCTTCCGCGGAGAGAATAAGCGGGACAGACACTCTGTATATCTGCAAGCGATTAAAGTACAAAACACCGGCGGCGTCACCCCTCCCCTCCCTCCCGGCGATGAGCCCCACACAACCCCCCACTGC